TACATTAAATTACGTGATAACTTTTTGCTTCTGTATAGTGAAAGCTTTGTGTATTTTTATAGAAAATATTATTTTTGAGTATTTATTGTTGTTTTCTTTAATATAAATTGCAAGTATTTTAAATTATCGCGAAATTCACGGGAAAATAACGTATTACATTGAAGAATAATTGTATAGGTGTAAGGGTTTAAATATAGATTGACTCATCTCAAGATTCAATCGGCTGATTTGGATTGAAAATGGCTTTTTTCTGTATAATCAGATGCTTATTTTCATTGATTTGAAAATTAATTTATTGAAAGTAAATTTTTTAGATCTGAAGGTAAATGATAGACTTACAGTAGCTTCCTACCACTATATAGCATACATTTAAAATGGATTTATAAAGTTGCCTGATTAAATATAATAATAAAGAGATAGTGTAACATGGGATAGGGGTACTTGTAAAGATAGAAAAAACATTGTTATACAAAATTTACTATAGAACATATAGGTAAAATCCTTCATTGTTGAATCACCCACAAAATACAGCAATCTTTTTCGTTTTTCATTCGACTTCAATTTTTTGAAGCTTCTTATACTCTTTAAAAAATTTTTATACTCTTTTAAAGTGACATTATATTAAATTTTCAGAATAGTACAAAAAGTTTTTAAAAATTACAATTGAATAAGAAATTTAAAAAATTTCTGTCTTTTCTGAGTGCGATAGTAAAATTTAGAATTATACATGATTGCAAATAATTAAATTTTATAGTATTTTTTTTTTATCGTTAAAATTACTACATTTCGTACTACACTGTATATTTATTATTCTATTATAACAGACAGCTGCATTTATAATTAGTGGTAGAGAGACGTCTTAAGTGTTTAATATACAATTTAACGTATATGTTGTGTACACTAAAATTTGTCAGAATGTGTGTATGAATATTTTATGACACATATCTTTTTTCTTAGTATCAGGATTTTCTTTACTTATCTTAATTTGATAATAAATTAGGTATTTTTTATAAAAACAAAATAAATAAATCATAAACTTATGATAATTCAGTATGATTCAAATGTATGTTATATTTACATATGTGCGAATTTCACGTGGACAGTATGGTTGTTTTCTCGCACCAAATAAGAAGTGTGTCAGCTGTTCTGTAGTTGTTAAGGTATCTCACTTAACGTACTGGTATCGCTGCTGCCCTACTTTTGGTAACGCAGCGGTCCCGAACGGGGGATCACAGTGTTGGCCACGACGGTCAAAAGTTTGCTGCCGACCGCAACCTTCAGAGTGCTTCTTTATCAGCGCCATCGCCAGCCAAGCTGTAAACTATCGTTGATGTATTCTTATGATGAATATATACTAGCGTCCATCACCCGATGACTCGGGACCCAGGGCGCTTACTGGCCACTCTAAAAAATAGTAAAATCCTAAATAATAACACAAGCGCCTATCACCCAATGACCTAGAGCGCTTACTGGCCATTCTATGAATTAAGAAAATTTTAATGAATAACACAAGTGACTATCAAACGGTGACTCGGGACGCTTACTGGCCACATTATAAAATAAGAAATCTTAAATAATAACAAACGCTTTTATCACTCAATGACTTGGGGCGCAGAACGGCACGAAAATGAGACCTCGGAACGCCACACCTTGTATTTTTACATTGTATACTCATCAGCGATAGTTCACAACTTGGCCAGTGGTGGCGCTGATAAGGAGGCGATCAGAAGGTTGCGGATGACAGCAAACTTTTGACCATTGTGGCTAACGCTGGGAAAGCAGCTCTCCCAAGCTGCGAGGGCGCTGCGGATCCAAAGCAAGGTCAGCGTTGGGTTAGGCGGATTCAATATCGGAACTTTTTCCCTAGATCGTATATATAGCTATACAAACTAGAGAGAATGTTCCGCTGAGCAGACAGCAGTAAAGGTGCATTGCCAAAGACGGTACCCACAACGCACGAAAATTAAAAATTTTAATATCAATAACACAAGTGCTCATCACCCAATGACCCAGGGCGCTCACTGGTCAATCTATTAAGTAATAAAATAATAATTACTAACACAAGCGCCTATCACCTAATGACGCGGGGCGCTTACTGGCCACTCTATTAAATAAAATATTAATTATTAACAAAAACGCCGATAACCCGGGGCACTTATTGCGAATCTAGCAAATAAATAATTATCAATAAATAAATAAAGCACCTATTTTCTCATGACCCAGGACACTTTTGGCCACACTATTAAATAATAAAAAGTTAATGGATAACATATGTAAACAATTAAAAATTTCGATTGATTGTTTAGTACGATAAAGATCTTTTTAATTGGTGCTTTTGTAAGTGATTGATAATTTATTACTTAATAATGGCCAGTAAGCACCCTGGGTCATTGGGTGATAGGCGCTTGTGTTAATAATTAATAATTATTTATTTAACAGAGTGGTCAGTAAGCGCCCCAGGTAATTGGGTGATAGGCCCTTATGTTAACAATTAATATTTTATTATTTAGCAAAGCAACCAGTAAGCGCCCCAGGTCATTGAGTACTAGGCGCTTGTGTTATTATTATTACAATTTTTATTTTCGCGCGTTGTGGGTACCATCTTTGGCAATGCTCCTTCACTGCTGTCTGCTCGGCTTATATTATATAGCTATACATACGATCTAGGGAAAAAGTTCCGATATTGAATCCGCCTAACCCGTTCCGGTCGGGACTGCAGCGTCACCACTGTTCTCTACAAAGATATTAGAATAGAGCACGCTAGAACGCTAGAAGCCAAATCATCCGATATGCGCAAAGAGAGAGAAGGCTGCCAGTGAGTCCCCTTGTGTCCTTGTCTAAGAAGTGTACAGAACGAAAAGAATCAATACGCATGCGTTCATTAGTCAAGGATACTGAGAAACTCACTGGCAGCCTTCTCTTTCGCTCCGCATATAAGATCCACTTATAGGCTAGCAGACTCCTGGCATGCACTATTCTAATATCTCTATGGGTGCGTTCCGTAAGCTCCAGTAGTTAATCTTCAAATATCTCGGTATCCTAGATGTCATTCAAGTGTAAAGGCTAAAGTATGACATGTTATCTCTCTCACACTAATAAGATACCTACACATTATCTAAATACTTAGATTAAACAGCCAGTGCTTACTCCTATGGCTACTCTCTCACTGCTCTTCTCATAGACCAAGAGCTGAGGCCGAAGAGCGAAGGGTGGTCAAAATTTCAACCAGCCGCAACTTACACCAATGGGTAGAAAATAAAAAGTTGTTCTTAGGAATGCTATTTGCGGCAAAATTAGAATGCATTTTGTACCCGAAAATCGACCTTCAAAAAAATAGACCCCCTACCCAATCTTATCTCTAATATTCATCTAAGAAAATAGATGATGCATTGTAGATAATAATACAATATCTATATTTTTGGAGGACGATTTTCGGGTACAAGATGCATTCTAATCTTGCCTCAAATAGCGCTTCCAAAAGACAAGTTTTTATTTTGCATCCATTGCTGTAAGTTGCGGTTGGTTAATAAAAAAGGCCATATGGCACGACTATAATTACCATATAACTCTTGACCAGAAAGAAATATGATCGAAATATTTCGGATCTGCATGAATCTCAAGGTTCCTCAATTCTGGTACGAGTGGCGGCTGGTTAAAATTTTGGCCACCCTTGGGCCTCAGCTCTTGGTCTAGTACATCTCTATGGAAATAAGTGATGCCGATGCCGTGCCACCTACGGCACTGTAGCAGCCCCTATTTTTTTCAGTAAACCGTTGAAGAGGTGTATGCAAAATAAACTTGTCAACACTCTTTTTACTATAATGCAGTTCGTTTTGGCTGCTTTTATTTTTAATTGTCTACAGATCTAATTTACCAGGTACCAGATACATCACTAGAAATATACTTTATAATTCAAAAGATCAATGACTGGTTTATGTATCTAATTAATATAAGGTAGTTCAACATATACATGGAAGTACCTTAAAAACGTGTAAATTTGAGATCTATGATTAATAAGTACGCATTCAACCCGTGTGCAAAATATTGGCATAGGTGGCCGCTGAAAATTAAAACAAAAAAAACACATTTTAAGCAAGCATCTTTTACACGGTTTCCTTTGTAAACTGGACTTTATCCACTTTAAGTAGTATCATAACTTACACAAGTCACCTTACACATAAACAAAAAACCAGTGGCATATTGAAACAACGCTTTTTCAATCAAACATAAGACAGACATAGGTTGCTGCAGATTTGATTCAGATATTTTCTTTTGAAGTAGACACAATAACTGATGTAAAGATTAAAGCGTCATCTGCAAATTTTGACAGACAGGATATAGGAGTTGAGTACAGGTTAGCTGTACTCATAATGTTTTCACAGTGAAGTTTTTAGCTTCTGTTAGCGAATAACTTGGAAAAAACTATTAGCTTCATAAAGATTGACTAAAAAGAGTAGATTTGTATGCACTGTAAATGTATTAGTATCAATGAAAATGTTAGCAAAATAAGCACCAACCTTATTATTCTATGATTCAGCTGTGTGTACACGTGTGTTTTGCTTGTCGTTAGATATTTCGGTATCCTAATATCCAATTTAAATATACAGGATGCAGGAGAACTTTTTACTTCTGTTTATGTGGAGATTACATAGTATAATAATATTGCTTCCTTTTCTCTGCCTTTTAAGTGTCATTTGCCTTAATACTATTATGCACATAAGAGAATTGAATAACTATATGATTGTTTAAGCTTGCTAACCACCTATTTACTGACATACATAGAGTAGCCTGCTCCCTTGCCATTGCTTCTGTCATCACCTGATGATACCCTGAATGTCCCAATCGAAAATATGACCAACAAGAAAATATGCTGCTTCAGTACATACTCAAAAAAGGGACATAAGAGCAGCTGATGCAAAGGAAGTTGTAAAATACATGTATGTAATATTTAGCCATGACTCAAAAGTACATTATAGACTTACCCTCCGGCAACAAGGTGTATGATAGTATCTCGCTGCTGCGACATTTTGCCTCAAAGACAAAACTACAACTGCTACACCCTCTTAAAATAGTTGAGCCCTTCCACTTTTGCCTTGAATTATTTATATTTACAGAGAAAACGATAAGGATCTTAATATCTATAAAGAAGGAAGTTACACACTTAGTTTTAAGAGAGCGATATTACATGAGACTCTCTTATTAGAGATACTCGTGGACACACAGCACACTACTCTTGTAAATTAACTAAATACCACGGCACCGATGGGGTAGTTGATTAGAGATGTACTTCACTGTACACATCTTCATAAGGAGTCGTGCGAGCGAACTCGGAGAACGGTCACTCGTCTGCTTCGTTTTGGGTATGCATCAAACACGTTCACATTGCCAACTGTTTACATGATCGCGGTTTCAATCTTGGCCAGAAACAATCAGCAGAAATAATAGGGTATAGTCAGAGAATATAGAATATATATAAGAGTATATAGAATAAGAGTATACTCTTTTTGCATAGGATAGAAGGCCAGATCGGCCGTTTTCGCGTCCGCACTGTCCGCAGTATTTTCTCTTTCTACTTTAGTTATGCCTCCGATAAAGCAGGCAGCGTTAGTGTCGGGAGGCAACCAGGTAACTTACGGAGCTATTCACAATATTCACATAGACATTTTTTGCTTATTCCATTGTGAACGTTCATATTGAAAAGGGGGCTCCACTGCTCCGCTAAACTCAAATTGAGTGATCAGACTGAACAGACCTATGCTGTGTTCTCTGTCAACATATTAGGTCATAGTTGCGACCATAGACTTTGTTGCCTGATGAAAAAAAAGGTATAGGTCTGCTCAGTCTGTTCACTCACTTTAAGTTTAGCATAACGTTGAAACCCCCTTTTCAATATCAACGTTCACAATGAAATAAGCAAAAAATGTCTATGTTAATAGCACCTGCATATAGATGCCAATAACTATTACCTTCCGAGCAACACGATAAAATGAGCGAGTTTTTGGGGTAAAACTCCCTACAGATATCTTTCTGATAGACATTAGAAGTCTACAAGACTTCTATAAAAAATCTTGAGAAAATGTGTTTGCTGGGACAGTAGGTCGATCAGTACGTCGAGAAACGGTGCGGCGGACATAGACACACAAAAAATATAGTTAAAGCAATGACCAATGACGCGTAATTATAGCATCAGCAAAATAACCGGATGACACTTTGTAACATTGCATTGGAAGCGATTTCCAACCTTTCATCTATTTAAACTAATGCTCCCCATTCATCGAGAACCGAGATATGGGGCGATGAAAGATTTTTTTTTTTTTTATTTGCTTATTAACCAAACCAAACTTCGGTGAACAGAAAAGATACACCTAACATATATCACACAATTTTTGCCAGCCGAAACGTACAAGCTGATTTAAAACTCGGAATTATAAAATAAAAAAAATTTTTGTAATAATTTTTTTTTTTTAACAATTCCGGTTTCGAACCAGCCCGTACGTTTCGGCTTGCAAAAATTGTGTGATATACGTTAGGGCTCAAGCACATAAAACCGCGTAAAGCGTAAAGCGTATCGCGTATCGCGTAAAATACGCCACTTTGTGGTCACATAGAAAAGGCGTAAAAGCCTCGCAAATCGCATAAGTGTGAAGTAGAGGGGAGTTGACCAATCTGCTGTCTTGTCGACAAAAAAAGCTTTCGAAGTTCTCAACGCAAGTGAATTCTAACCTGCGTACATGTCAAAAAAAAAGTTTTTAAGTATATACTTCTTTTTATTTAAGAGCCGTTAATACATTTTACACAGCTTAATCATTACACTTCTCACTTTTTCTTTGCAATATTGGGTTATTGCATAGGTCGTAAAAGGGACAATGAAAGGATATGAAAACAAAGAAGAGATTGAAGTTAATGGTTGTATTATATTTTAAAAGGGTTACAAAGTACTTATCGCTAAGATTGACGTCTACGCACCTTATTGCTTAATAGTCGGTTCGCACCTGCCTCTACGCCGTCACACCCCCTGCGCTCACTGTTCCGGTTTCCCCTTCTACTTTCTAAGTTCTAGTTGTGTACAATAGATGTCTCCGTATATGTCGCGACTCTTCCGGAGTATCCGATATATATTAGAGTGGATGGAGTGAACTGGAGATGCGAGAGTGACCTCGTGGGCCTTTTTTTTCTTTTTTGACTGAGTAAAGAGTTTTTATTTAGTGCTATTTTTTATTTGTGCTTCCAGGGTGGCTTAGGCCTACCCTGGTATCATCTTCACCCCAGACAGTTTAGGCTGAGGGCAATTAATCATCTCCAAAGCAAGTGCTACATAACCTCAACTGCAGTTTCATGCTCTGGTATCCACCCCCGGTAACGGGTGGTGCTGATACGATGGAAAATGACTCTGAATGGGGTCTCAGGAGCGAGGGTTTCGCTGCTGACATGCCCCCAGAGCATACTATGGATTGGAGCATACAAGAAAATAGTGATAAATCCCTTCCATTCAATAATGGTGAGAACAACAAAAAAAGGAAAAATTTTGATGCAGAAAAGCTAGACAAAAACTGCATCCAAAAGAATCCCAAAATGATCAAGGATGACAAGGAAGAATCTTTATCAGGGGTGCAAACAACTATCGACAAGAACCGAACAGTGTTTCAACTGTCCAATGAAGGACCATATGGAGTCTGGATCAAATACACCAGTACACATACCGGTAGCCCAGTACTCAACGAATACACAGTTGCAAGTATCCTATACAATAAGTACAAAAATAAGTTCACCGACATAAGTAAGAAGAACATTGGTCAAGTTGAAGTTTTGTTCGATGACAGAGAGGCAGCAAATAACCTCCTATCTGACAGTGTCCTGAAACAACATGATCTGGAAGCCTTCATTCCTATATACAGACAATCAAGAAAGGGTCTCATTAGAGGCATACCGACAGACTTGAGTGAAGACCTTATCCTAAAACATATCCAGAGTGAAACAAAAGTAATAGAAGTCAGAAGATTAAAAAGGAAAAACAAGCTGGCCAAAGAAGATAAAGATCGATGGGTGCCTAGTGAAACTATCCAGCTTTTCTTCGAAGGTCAATTCCTACCCAGCAGAGTGTTCATTTTTGGATTATCCACAAGAGTTACCCCCTACGTAAGGAATCCCATACTTTGCTATAAATGTCTACGCTATGGCCATACCAGTGCTCATTGTAAAGGTAAAGAGGCCTGCATTATGTGTAGCAAAGAAAAACACGAAGGTCAGGCATGTGTTGGAACTACTCCGTGGTGTCCACACTGCAAAGCTCCGCATAAATGTACAGATCTACAAGTTTGTAAAGAGTACAAAGATCAAAAGGCCATCCAAACCATAATGGCCTTTGACAACCTACCCTACAGTGATGCCAGACGTCAAGTCAAGAAAAGGTTTGGAGAGTTTAGACCAAACGCAAATGAATTCCCAATGCTAAGAGAAAAAGCCCTTAAAAAGATTTATGGTACAACAGAGCCTAACAAATCATACAGTAGCACGGTTAAGCAAGCTTCTGCTACCAACCTAAGCCAGGAAACGAGCCCACAATCCACAAGTTCGAATACGCCAAAGAAGAGGATTCTCACAACAACAGATCCAGGTCATTTGAACAGAGACAATAGTGCCTATAACCATAATATGGTTAACTTAAACTCTCTGAACAAATTAATGGCTAAGCCTGCTGAAAATAAAACGGCCAGCATAGACGTAGAAAAAGGTATGATTACTTCCAGTCCTTCGACAAAGTCCAATCCTGCAAGTAACTCGGCTGACGTGACGGCAATAGATGCTCTGCTCAGCTTGAGCCAACCTATCATCCCAGTCACTTCGAGCAGCCAGAATAGAATCCTCAACAAGAGTACAAGCAACGTGTACTCCAATAAGAATAAAAAAGTCAACTCTGACACCAACATGCATAAGGAAAACAAGCAAGGTGATACTAGACTCAACGACACCAAAGAAAGACTCCAAAAGAAACTCCAAGAAAAAAATAGAAGTTTAACGAACAATTTAAAACTAAATTCGCATTAATTTAAATTTTTTATTTACTAATCTTACATAAAACACTTTTATATTTACAGACGTTCTATATTACCTAAAATGTCCAGTCTAAAGATAATTCAATGGAATGCCAGAAGCATCGGCAACAAGCTTGATTTGTATCATAATGTCCTAGACTTTGATGTCGTCGTGGTTGTGGAAACATGGCTTCAACCACACGAAAAATTCAGTATAAAAGGATTTGAAACGGTCAGATTCGACAGAGATAGTGGCGAGAGAGGAGGGGGGATCGCCTTTTTTGTCAGGAGTAGCCTGATCTTTGACGTACTAGATTTGCCACTCAGTGAACCCGGATTTGAGGTCGGCGCCATTAGGGTGGACACGAGTCTGGGTCCGTTAAGTATAATTGGCTGTTATAGAAGACCAAATTCAAATAACAACCTTAGTAAAGAAAGCTGGATTGAATTATCCTCTAAAGTATCACAATTTGACTCTTTTCTTCTTGTAGGTGATTTTAACGCCCATCATGCTTTCTGGGGCAGTAAAAAGAATTGTACTAACGGTAGAACCCTTGTTGACAATATGGATTATGATAAATTTTTCTTACTTAACGATGGTAGCCATACCCACGTTACCATCTCTCAGAATGAGTGTAAATATTCAAATATCGATCTTTCTTTTATCTCACACAATTTAGCTCTCTTAACAACCTGGCTCGTGTTGGATGATACATGGGGAAGCAACCACTTCCCAATCCAGATTGAAATAAATACATCCCCTGAACACATGCCAAAAATTGACTATAGGTATAATTTAAGTAAATTAGATTGGACCAAGTTCAAAGATAAATTAGAATCCGGTAAACACATGTTCTCTTCTATTGATTTTCTTAACTGTCATATCTTAGAAAGATATGAAAGGTTCATTACCTTCATTGACTCTTGTATAGTAGAATCGTTAAATTACAATTTTAAAAAAAATGATCTGACAAAAAATCCACAAACATCTTTCAGCAACAAAAATCCCAAAAGAAAAAGAAAACCTAATGCCATTTGGTGGAATGTTGAATGTGACAAAGCTATAAGGATCAGAAAGGCCAATCTTAAATCCCTCCGATACAGATGCAATCTTCAAGATTTTATTAATCACAAGAGAATCATTGCTCTAACAAAAAAAACATTTCGAGAAGAAAAAAAAAAGTCTTTTAAAAGGTTCTGTGAATCCATCTCACATCAAACTAAAATCTCAGAAGTCTGGTCAAAGGTCAAACGCTTCAAATCAGGTTTCAATCGTCCTGATAACTCTAGTGGTAATAAGAAATTTCTAAAGGAGACAGTTACATGTCTCAATGAATTATTACAGCCAAAAAATCTAAACAAAGAGGCATTTGATTTTTCTTCTTTGGACCACACGTCAGACAACCCAACACATATTCTATCCTCTCCATTTTCATATAGTGAACTTTTGTACGTCCTAGACAACGTTAAGCTTCAGTCAGCACCAGGGGCAGATAGAATCAATTATCTAATTCTGACCAATTTAC